GTTAAGACTGTCAGCCAGAAATCTCTCCAGCTCATGGCCACCATTCCACTTGTCTGAGGTGTTAGCAAGTATACACTGCTTAATTTTTTAATGCTACCTGAGGGCTTCCTTTTAATGGGATCTTTTTATCTGAATAAAGTTTTAACTTTAGAACCTGTGGTTGATTGCCTTCTAACCCCTCAAGGATCACTTTTCCACTTGCCAGATCATTTGGACCATATGGTTACATGGGACTCCATCTTTAGGCTGCACAGAGTGCATTTTTCCAGCATCATGTAAAACAGTAGAAAGAGGCAATTTTCCAGCCTGGTCCACAGCACAGGAGAGGTGGGTGGTTTTCTTCACAGTCGAAAAATTTCAATGAATATGATTACATTTCATCTTGTTCTGCTGGTTACCTGCCCCTCCCCTCAGGATGGAGTACCCATAAATCTAAATAAAGTAAGATCCGGGATCACTATTTCCTTCAAGCAGAAGACAAGATAAATTCTTACAACAATATGATTACCACTAGGCTCAAAGTTTTGTCCCTGCATGTAAAATTTCCTTGTGCCAGGATAATCTGATGTAGGGGCCTACAGAATGCCTCCCAGGAGAGAGTTGCTCCAATTGCCATTTTGAATGTTAAACTGAAACTATAAGTCCTTTCTGTGTCATCTTTTCGGGACTTCTTGTGCCCCATGATTCAGTGCACTGCTGGAGGGATGAAATGCCAGGGCAATGACTGAAGAGGTAGATGCCATTGTTGCAAAGATCAAGGGTTGGGGCATTTTCCAAACAACAGGTATGTGCATGTTTGGATATGAGTAACAGGTATATATTGCCCTCCTGCAAATGTCAACGAGGCATCATAGGCCCAGTTGGTTTAATCTGAATCACTAAACTGTAGCCACAGTTATTTGCTTATAAGAAAATACAGTTTGAAAGCCTTAAGTGAAAATGGGAATGGACATTCTGCTGCTTTTGATGCCTATGTCAAAGGCATCTCTCCACTTTCACTGTTATACTGTAGGTCCCAATTTCCCTTCCTTGTATTCACTGTTTTCTCTACCCTTTGGGCATCATCCCCCGACCTCAGCTTGTGTTATTTCTTTCCATTTTTCTTCTTGACACGAACAGCGATGCATCTGTGTCAGGCAACATTCATTATGCTGAAAAAATCCCCACAGCAGCTCCTCTCTTTTCCAGAAATAATCCAAAGCCTTTTTGTTGGTATTACTTTTTGCAACCATCTCTAAACCGAATTATTGTTTTCTTAGGAGACACATCTCTAAAATTATTCTTAGGTCAAGAGAGTTAAGTCATTCATTTGATACAGTAAAATACAAAGAGGGAAATTACCCAGAGTATGAGACATGAGCAAAAGGTATAAAGCTTCGACAAAATAGCCCATTGCAATCTGCAATTGCAGGGAAGGGAAGTCTGTGCAAATCATACACTTTGGCAAATATGTCAACACTTTGCATAATGCCAGCAGGCAATTTTAATAGGATGCCAAACCTCCTTGATCTCATTTCTTGTCTTTAATCTTAGCCATGAAGCAGTCACTGACACTGTAGTAGCTTAAGTTAACCACTAAACCTCAGTCTTACTTTCCCATCCGTAAAATGTGAAAACCACAATATATTTCACAAGGTAATTTGAACAACTGCTGAGCTGCATCTTTTTAATGCAAGGGGGCATTTGTTTTTACTTGCTTTTGCAGACTACATGAAAAGCCAAGGCAAAGGAACTAAAATCATGGTTAAACTACAGGTTCTAGTAGCCTTGCTGCCTCTTAAAGTTTCAGCTTCCTTCTAGGTAGCAATACCTCTTTTCAATATGATCAACTATTTCTCCACATCCAGAAAGACCAGGAAAAGGAAGCTGTCTTTTCAAAAAATGAAAGCTCTCATATGATTTTATGAAATGCAGTGAGATTTTCTTCTAGAAATTCCTCATTCCACAATTCATTGCACTATGATGGCTTTTCTCATTTCTCAACCACTGGATGGAGAACCCTGCCAGAATTAGATGCAAAGGACAAGAGGGCTCCTGCAATTTTAAAAGAGGGAAGCTGAGTATGTGCAGTTTTTTATACAGGGAAGATACAAGCCTGTCTGTTATAGAAACTATTAACTTCCCTCCCCTCACCCTATGTTTATAATGCATGCTGCTATGTAGAACAGGATCCTAATTGGAGGCTGATAGTTACTTTAGATTGATCCTGCATCTTGACTCCTGTCAGTGTCTAGAGGATAGCAGTGCTTCTTGCCCATACCAGGGACTTCTAGTGTATTCCATGTCAGCATCTTTCTATGTTGTGATAGCCCTGAGCTAACGTTAGTTGCAGCCATTTCAGCATCCCTGCTCCCAAGCAAATGTCACGGTATCATTTCGACTCATGTTAGGGAGCATTTGTTATTGATCTGGCATCTTCTACAATGCTCAGTTTCACAGTGGGTAGATTGGGTTATGCTTGGTCATTTTGCAAGTGGGGAGAAACAGGAATCACCTGCCCATGGTATAATACTCTGGTACTATAAATTAAAACAATTTTGAAGAGCCACTTGGCTAAAAATATGGGACAGAGACAAAGGTAGAACTTCATGCTCGGAAACACTCCCTGCCTATAATATTAGCTGGGAGTTATTGTTACTTTGCAAGGATATTCGTAGATAAACTTCCTCTTATTATGTCTTAAGGGAAGCAGCAGGAAGGAGGGAAGTGGATTATTATTGATTTTTTTCTTTTTCTCACCCTTTTTGGCTTCCTGAGCTTTAATTACCTTTTAGGGTCAGTCAAATGAAATATAGCTGTATCTACAGTTGCAATGCAGTGTATCCATTCACACTCCTGCTTAGTAAGTGGCTAATTTTGATTAAAAGGACACGGAGCCTTCACTTGGAAAGATCTGGATTTCAACTAGGGCAGTCTTGAGGAAAGTCTGTATTGAAGCCCTAATGGGATTTAATCTTGGGTTCTTATGAAGGTAGCACCTGCAGCATCTACATAATACACAGCCAGGAACTGAAGCTGCTCCTGTAGGAGAGCCTCGATGGAGGAGAACTTAAACAACAAAATCCCTGGTAGCAGCTCAAACACACACAGGTATTTGTGCTGATGCTCATATTCAGCCATCTATTGTAGGTGTTGATTGTTGCTGCATAGCTGCAGACTGCATAGCTGTCATCCTTTCAAACAGCCCTTCTGATTCAAAAGATAATAGGCCTGTTTTCTGGTTGATTCTTAATTCCACTCCCAAGCACGGTTACATGTGTAAAGCCACAGGCACATGCATTCACAAATTAAGCATTGTGCAGTTACATTTTGCCAGCAGCTTCTCAAGGAGGTCCATTTTTATATCCCAAGGGACACCCCTCTTTTTCCAGTGCAACTAAAGGAGCTTTGAAAGGGATGAATTCTAGCACTGCCAGTTCAAAGACACCAAGAATCCATTTCATCGTTGTGTCTTTACTGGATGGTAAGAAAAAGAGATGGAACAAGCAGTGGGAAAACATGGGAGGGTTACAAATGAATGACGGTGTCTGCGTTCCCTGTAAAATTCCATGGATTAGACAGAGAGATTGCATGATAAAAGGCCCATCTTGAAGTACCCTCAATAAAATAGAATATGGAAAATAATTAGTGGGTGGGATATAAAATACAAGAAAACACAGGAAGTATTATATAAGTGGCCCACAAATGGAATATAAGGAATGTTTACCTTATTGCATAGAGTGGACCACAAAACCTAACAATGAAAATATAGCAACATTAAGAATCTTTAAAAATGCAACAAGTATTTGTCAGTTGCCAGTGTAATGGAAACCACTGGAAATGCATAAGGCCACCTGTGTTAGTCTATTGCTGAAAAAACAGCAGGGTTCTTATGGCACTTTAAAGACAAATAAGAATATTCTGACACTGGCTTTGGTGGGTTTTGATCCGCTTAATCAGATGCAGCATCTGATGAAGTGTGAGAGATAGTCAATGAACGTTTATGTCAGAATAAATGTGTTAGCAGTCATAAGACACGTTAATGCCTTTCAATTCAGGAAGCCCTAAATGTAATGTAAATACTGAAAGCTACACCCGTCTATTGTTCCTAGCATACATCAGAAAAGTCCTGACTGGAAGAAATGCTTAGTTTATTCTATGGTTACTTAAGGGCCTGATCCTATTCATGTTTAAACAGAAAACAGTGCTAAAATTCCCAGCATTCCCCAGCCATTCATGCTGCCTGAAGTTAGAAAAGATTTTTCTGTCTAAATATGCATAGAATTGCACCTTAATGTGTTACATGAGGAAACTATATGCACATATATGTATATACATAGACATTTTCATGTTGGCATTTAGAAAAATAATAGATGAATATGAGAATAGGATGAAACTGACTTATGAATATGTGAGAACCTAAATCAGACCAAAACAGACTGATTCAACCATTGCTGAAACACGTAGATAGACCTGGTATTGTCTACATACGGTAATCCTGCCTAGATTGCCAATTGGTTTGAAGTCTGTTGGGTAAGGCTAATACATTTGGGGGAAGTGAATACAAATGAGCATACATTATGAGAAATCTGCATGGAAATGCATATGAAATTATCAAACTGATGCAGAAGTGGAATGGAACAAGTGTAATGTTTAAAAAACAAGAAATTAAGAAGAGTGGATCCTTGGCCTGAACATCTCTTTGCTAGCTCAGAATCCAGGAAGATCTGCTGATGTTTCATCCATGGAAGCTAATGATAGCAGGTTGTCCTTTGACTGCCAGGAATCCCTCTCAGTCTTTTGGAATAAGAGACTCATCAGAACTTAGAGAAGGTTAAGGTGAAGCAAACAACGAGAGAAACAGCAAAAAGCAGTTTGCATTTGGAAATTAAGTAGAAAGACAGAGATTTTGAAACTGTGTGTGAGCTAGTAATAAACCCCTTAAGTCTTTAGGGTTCTCTCACTGAAAGAAAGTCCCTACTGCTCAGGAGTGGGGAACAGAACAGCATCTATGTTCTTACCAGAGGCTCTAGTTCCCTTTGATCAACCAAACTAAACTCGCTGATGAAGTAGTAAAAGTGCTTGTAGCAGGTGTTGACATGAGCTTCGGCACCCATGCTGATGATGCTGTCAAAATGGTGGATATAGACATGGACAAAGACCCTGAAGAGGCGTGTCAGGATCTTTGTGCAGACCTGTTGGAAGTTCTTGGGGAAAGGAACACCTGCAAGACAGAAGAAAAACGTTCTAGACTGCAAGCATCCAGCATTATGGTTGGAAAGTAGGCTCTACTTAGCTACATTCAATTTGCACTTCCTTTATTATCATAATACTACTGATTCAGTATGCATTTCAAGTGCCACCTAACCAAAGACCCCCAGGAATCACTACCTTCTAGTGTGGCATTTGGCTTGGCCTAGTTGCTTGGGTCACCAGAATACATCTGTTTCACATGAACCTTGATATCATACATTGAATATACTACCTACTGGAGCAGATGTAGACAGATAGTACATCTCCTAATGTTTTAACTTCAGCTCTGAGCATTTTGACAAGAAACCATGCTGTCAGGAGCTTCTGGGAGTTGAAATTCAAAACATCTGGAGATCTACCTTACAATATATAATATAGTAGAATATAATCTACTATAAGTGATTATATAGTATATAGTATACACTATATTATGTAGAGTGTATAGTATTATATGTGGGCTTTAACTTTATTGGAATTTGAAATCAGTTATTTATTTTACAGGACCTAATAGAATAGATATTGTGATAAGGTTTTTTTTTTTTTTTCTTGAGCCAGTTAATTTCCCCACGAGTACATCATAAAGCTATTTTAGCTTGCTTCAATTGTTGGCCAATGAAAAGTTAGATTTTTTTTCATCCTGCAACTTGGAGAACAACCCCTTTAATTTCCCTGCACATGCGGCTTGTAAAAAGATAGTCAAAGAAACTACTGAACACTGACACATCTCACACTATATAAAAATCTAGTTTAGAATCAGTTATGTATTTAGCTTAATAAACTGCTGTTCAAGGATGTTAATTGATCTGTGTGTGTGTGTGCGTGTGTGTGTGCACGCGCACGTGCATTTTCTGTGCTGGCTGAGTGGGGAAAAGAGGAGGAGGAAAGCACAGCTTTCCAGCTTTGAGACAGAGCTCTGTTTCCAACCCTGAATTTGGGAAAGAAGTGCCTATGTCTCCAGATGCTCTGTAGTATCCATTGAATTGCTCTCCTTAAGACTTTACTTTGTATGCCATTAGTGACTTTGCAGCTGCTCAAGAAGGTCTTTATAAATGATTCTGCCCTGGGTCTTACAGAGTTGGATCATTGCCTCTAACACTATAAGAACACCTGGTGTCGCCTTATATGTTTTTAGACCATTGGCAAATCTAGTCCCTTAAAGGGTGGACAATTTCCAAAATCTCACACCTAAGTTTTTCCCACCCTTAGTACGAGGAAATGCCAAGAACAGAATCTTGGACTTTTTGCTTGCAAAGCACAGTCTCGAAGCTACAAACGCCCAATCATCTTTCCAGTCCATGAGGACATTTACTCTGTATCAAAAATGTCATTGTTACTTCTGCGTGGTGAGTTTTTCTTTGACACAGCAGAATGTTGTTTCTAGGTTGTTAAGTAAGTGGGAAAGAGTTGCCAGACAGAGAAGCACTGTACCTGTAGGGGGTACTGGAGGATATCCTCAGCCCTGAATGGACTATTAACATTAGGTGATAGGCTTGACAAGGGAAGAGGAGCAGGGGATCTATGTTTGCATAGCTCTCTCTACATACTGTTCTCCATGAATAATGGGAATGCATGAAACAGATCCCTAAATGATCTGCCATCAAACCTAGACCACAAAAATCTAGGACTAAATAGCACTCAGATTCTGTTGCTGGAATAAATCTTGCTAATGGGCTGGTTTGTGCTTCAAAAACATTGGCTTGTACGGCTATCATTGTTAATGTGGCATCTTTCAGCCTCCAGAGTGTTGTTCAGTTCTTTCTTCATTGTATCCTACAAGAGGGGCCAGGCTGAAGGCCATGTGAAACTTGGTGCTAAATGCTTTGGCAACCACATCCATTAAAACATGGGAGGAGGGACTGTGAACTGTTTTACCTGGTGGCGCTGTGCAGACCTGTCTTCATTGTCAAAATTGTTACATTTTAGTGGTTTTAAATATCAAGTGAATTATTATCTTTTTACTATTGTATTGCATTTTATCATTTGTTGCACAACCCCAAGAAAGCTTCAACTATTGGGCAGTATAGAAATAAAAGCTGCTGCTGCTGCATGTTCAGGGGAAGGAGCTTTTTAAAAAAGCATAGGAATATTTTCACACAACTTCTTCTTCACATACTAAAAGTGACCAAAAGCCAACACAGACTAAACTTTTCCCATGGCTACAACTGACTGAAACACTTGTGCAAACAGGGCTTCAAAATGAGAGCCTTTTAACTTTCAAAAGCCTTCTGTGGATGCATTAAAATAAGCCATTCTGGCACTTTTAAATGAACTTCAACAATAGCAAGCATTCATATTTACCACTTTAATGTCAAGTGTTTTCAATTTGTGCCTACAGAGGTAGAGCGGTGCCTGCATACCCTGTGCCACCATAAATCAGAGAATTCAGAGCCAGCATTTTTGTAGCCCTGAGATGCTGCTGTAATGATTTTCATGCACAAAAAACAATGGAGGGGGAAAGCTATTAAGCACCAGATGAAATGGAATCAGTACTTGCTGGCTGCTCAGTCTTAGTGTGGAGAACTAACTCCACTTAGGTACAGCTGTGGGGCTAACAACCAGGCTTCATTAAGGGGGACTTCTTAATTGTTTCTGATGTATCAGAATCTTATGTATCACTGATGTATCAGTGGGAAACAGTGGTACACTGAAGTCAGCTTGAAAATAAAGTGTAATTATCAGGTCCCTTTGTAATTCATGACTTTTCTCTCTTTTTATCTGTGCAGTGGTTGATAACAATTAAATACATATGGCAGATCTGTTTCATGCATTTCCACTAGTCATGATGAAAGAGTTGTAGAGAGAGCTATGCAAATACAGATCCCCCTCTTTCTTCCCTAGTCAAGCCTGTCACCAAATGTTAATGTTATCCGTTCAGGGCTGAGGATATCCTCTAGCACCCCCTACAGGTACAGTATGTCTGTCTTTTAAGTAAGAGTAAAGCGACGACATTCTGCTGTGCCAAAGAGAAACACTCCACAGAATCCCATTGTGTGTGGTTCAGGTAAAAGTCTGAGAACAGTTTTGCCACACGTTATGAAAACAAGAAGCCAAGTGTTCGAGAGTAGGAAGGAACTGCCTAGTATGGTAGCCACAACTGTTTTTTACTCAGGAAGTGTGCTGGACATCTGATAAGCAAAACATCCTCTTTCCCTGCAATGCAAGAGACTTCGAACCTCTGAAGGCTGCCTGGCCAGGCACTACAGCTCACTTTAGGAAAGCTTGCTAAACAAATAGTTGCCAGTAGCATCAGGTTTGCCTGGGATTCATATGTTTCCTAGATTCTGTCTAGTGTGGCCTTCAGCAAGATGCTCTGCTGAGACTGAATTTGTGGCTTTGCACGATGATCTCCATGTAGAAAAAAGCATTCACTCTTGTGAGATGTTCCTGCAGCCTGGAGAAGATTCCAGATGCAGCTTTGACATTGCTAGCACTTTGCCTCACTCATAATATTCTGCAGAGTCCAGATGACCTTCCACTTGTAACCCTTCTCTGTCTTCATTTCTCCCATCCATGTTCCTGCCACAGGCAATTCATTCAGGGAAAAGTTGGAATTGTTGTACTTGGAGAACACTGACTAGGATCAGCCCCAGAAAGGATGAAAGGTCTCCTAGTCCCAACCCATAAACAAAGTCCAAGCTCAGTTTCCCACTGGCCTACTATATATTCACCCATGCCATATGGAGCATGAGGTATTATAGAGAGAAGATGCCTCAGAAGCAAGCATCAAAGAATTGAGCCAAACACACAAAGCAAGTCAGGCAGAAACAAATAAACAACCTGATACAAACAACAATAAAACACCTGACAGAAGATTCTTCTTGGTCCCAGATAAGTTAATGGAAATAGCAAAATCCATCCACCACCATCCCAAAGACTTATATTGGACCATAATACCACTGCAGCCCAACTAGCTCTCTTGGTTCACTAGCCTCTGAAGGCCAGACTAGATGTCTTTTTAAATAAAAATTTGCCCCAAATAAAAATGGGAATGAGGGATGATTTAAAGGGCAAAAGCATGATGTTGAACTTTCTCTGCACTTGTTTCTCACCCCCTCATTACTTTCTTCCCTGCATTTTTCTCCAGGTTGCTCTTTCAATATCAAAAATGAACTCCGGATTAAGTGCAGGATGGTGGAGTCCTGTTCTTTACTCCAGAGTCTATGGTTAAGACATTTTTATTGACTTTTTAAAATGCTGAGGGCTCTCAGTCACCTCTTGCCTTCTAACATCCTAGACAGCAACTTTTGAATGTGAATATATGAAATATGTTTTCAGTCTGGTTTTATGAGCAGGCTCTCTGAAATGCCCCAGGGTACAACATCTTCTGTCATGAGCCAAATACAATTATTTTAAAAAGGGTTGAATGCAGCATTATGCTTTTTCTCTCCTTGTCATCTCTGGTCTAACTAATTTGGCTAAGTACTTTTTTTCAGGTATTTGTGTTACATGCTTTAATTGGTTGTAAAGCAGGCTGCCTTTCAGGGGAAACAATGTCAAGATCCCATGCAAAATTCTATAATGCCCAGAGAACTTTGGCTGTGTGGCTGTAATGAAATTAATAAAATTTAAGCATAAGACACAATAAAACTGAGAAAAATTATTTTCAAACTATGCATTATCAGCATTTTACCAAATAGAACTGGCTAGCACCATTGTTGTAAACTTCCTGGGCAGTTTTGGCAATTGGGCAATATAGACATTAAATAAATAAAGGGCTACAATATCACCCAAAGGACTTGCTCAATTAGAGGCCAAGGTAAAAGCAAAGTCTTTAGGACCAGTGTGAGGATCGGGCTTAGTGGAAAGCTACTGGAACAGTGTTCCACCATCAAGGTCTGCTACTGAAAAAGTCCTTTTTCTTGTGCCTACAAGCTTAAGCACACAATACTATATCTGCTTAGTTAAAAACAAAACAAGAAAAAAGCTTCCATGGAGGGAGTTGAGGCCTTTTTCCTTCGAAATGTGCGAGGCCGGTGCCCTAATTGCATAGAAGAACGACCTCTGATGCTGCTATCAGAGTGCAGGTGTTGGACAGCTTCGTCTAGATGAAGGGGCCTTAGCACCTTAAAAGCTAATCCCAGAAGTTTAAATTGGCCCCCAAAATGCTTTGGCAGTTGGTGCAGCTGGTACAATATGGATGCCATATATGTAACAGCTGCAAAGCCTGAGAACAAGAATGTTAACTGGATGAATTGTGCAGGCAACAGTGCCTCTGTTGTCCAACCCTCTTAAGAGAAATGACGGTCTGTCTAAAACCCAGTTAATACATAAAGTAGGGCGAGAAAATGGCAGTACCATGCACAGCTCAGTGTGGAAACTGCTGACTGCCTCCTTGCTCAAAGGCAGGTGCTCACCCAGCTTTCCCCAGCTCGGTACTTTCCAGCTGTGATGTGATGAACCAAAACTTTCAGGTATACTCCAGCACAGCTGGAAGGCACCAGGTCAGGAAAGCCTGGATGACATGCCACTTTTAAAGCATCTGTCTTTGAGCAGGGCAGGAGTAGGCAGCTTCAAAGGGAACTAAGCAAAAATATAATGAGAAGTTAAATATTAATATATTATAAATGAGAAGCAGTCCACACAAATAAAAATGGACATACAGAATATTAAAGGATGTGCATCTCCAGCCTGCTAATGAGGTTTCTTAATATTCGTCACCATTAGTAATTGTAGGAGGGAACCCTAATTCAGGACCACTACATTCATACAATGAATGCTTAAATAGAATTTGAGAGCAGTATTGTTAACTGCCTCTTCCTATAAATAAGTTTTTTTTAACACACTGTTAATGGCAATAGCAGAACAGCTGCAAATTGTTACATGGTATTTGTTTTGAAAGCAGAATGGGGGGCCGGAGGAGGGAGAACACAGGCCAGCATTTATGGAGCTGGCCAGCTGTGAAAACAGTTAGAAACACGCTGAGTCAAAGCAGTTGGAGAATAGAAAGAGAAGGAGCCAGTAATCACTGCCTGCATCCCCACATCCCAGCTCATTGTATTCTTTGGGAAAGAGCCTTTTGAATGGGAAAAGGGAAACCAGAAATAGTCGGTTAACAGTGCAATCCTCTGCATGTTTACTCGGAAGTTAGTCCCACCTTGTTGAATGGGGTTTACTCCCCCATTCCGTGAGCTAATGGCTGTAGCCCAAGTTTTTCATGAATGAGTCAAGTTCACTGGTTTCTGTTGCACAGTTTAAAGGCCCTTTAATTCCCCCCCCCCCCCCCGATTTGTCAATGCTGGCAGCCTGCATTTGAAGCCTATGAAAATGAGCATCTACTGGTTTCACTCTGACTCTTCTGCATGGTGAAATGTCTGTTTTAGCTATGCAAAGAAAAGGGTGTTTCCAGACAGGAAACACTCTGGTTCAAACGTGCAGCATTAGTTGCAGGCGATTTCTAGACAATGTGGTCTTCCTTTTCTAAGCTTTCTGCATTTCTATTTTGTCTGTCATTTTTCTGACCACAGTAAATACGTTACAGTGGAAAAGACAGAATAGCAGCAGGCCACCAACCTTTTGATTGGCAGGCTGCCAGCAACACAAAACCATGGGACACCCACAGAGTAAGCCAACACTTTTGTGTAATGTTGGTAGCATCATCTTTAGATGCACACCAGTAAACAGAAGCCCCCAGTAATGAATACGGTTAGCAGACAGTCCTCCTAACATTCTATCGATGCTCCTTCTTTTCCCTTCTGCAATGCAGCTATTGCTCTAAAGCAGCCTCCCCCAACTTTGTGCCTTCCCTACATGTTTGGACTGCAACAGCCAGAATTCCCAGTCAATGGCCCTGCTGGATGGGAATTCTGGGAGTTGCAGTCCAAATGCCTCCGAAGGTCACCACATTGGAGAAGGCTGCTCTAAGGGGAACCCCAGCCCTCCTAGGGAGCCTCAGGAAGCTGTGCCAGAGGAAAATGGCCCGTTCCATTTCCAGTAGACTTCCCACCTGGATTCTCAGAGTGCAGTTCTTCTTTTCTCCCCTTCCCTTTTTAGAAACACAAATTAAGTCTGTGTGAAACTGAAAAGAAAGGGTGCATGCAGAGGTCAACATTATATGCTGATCCCAGAAGTAAAAGCAGAATTACTGCTATGCACACTTGTGCAGCGTGGCTGCGTATTTTATGATGTCCCATCAGTACAATGCACCTCCTACTGAAGAATGAGCACCTGTCCCCAAAGAAACCAAGGTGACTGCATGAAGGCTAATGCATTTCAAAGCCCCGATTAGCAGAACCATCCTAAGCATGTGTACTCAGAAGCAAGTCCCACTCTGTTCAGCGGGGCTTAGTACTGGGCAGGGGTGCAAAGGAGTGCCTTCTTTTATTTATTTATTTATTTATTTATTTATTTTTTATTAAAACATTTTTATGGGCAACGGTGAGTTTTGTGCAGGCTCTCGGTGACAGCAACACAACTCTTGGTGGCAGCAACAAACACTGCGACTTTAGAAAGAAAGGGGTTGGGCCATGGCTTCGTGGCCTGTACTGTGAGCTAGCTAGAGGGGCTCCAAATCATTTGGGGTCAGTGGGCACATTTGGAACTTCCAGAGACGATGGTGGTGCTCTCAGAAATGGCCGCCATGGGGAACCTTTACCATTTATTAAATGTCTACCATGGTGTGCATGTCCAGTCATAAAGCACTCAAAGATAAACGGACTGGGCTAAAAGAAAAGAAGCCTATTCAAGAAACCCAAGTGCAGGCAGAGGTGGGGCCTGAGCTCCAAAATGCAAAACTCTACTTTTTTGGCTGAAGTGGACTTGGTAAGAGAATCCATCGCTTGCTTTGACGGCATGCCAGCCTCCCATATTTTTGGTTTAATCACACCAACTCTTGAGGAATAAAGATCGGGAGGGGCAGGGAGCCAGCAAGTGTCAAGAGAGGTGTCCCTGAACACATCTGGTGCCCAGAGCTAGACAAAGAGACTGATCTGGGGGAGGGCAGCTCTCCATGGAGCAGTCGCCACCAACTTACCTATCCTAGTGGGAAAGATCTCCTCATTATTGATGAGTGTCTCAATCCAGTCCATCAGCATGCACATGTACTGGGGTGCTGACAGCTTGGTCGGCCTCTTGAACCGGTAGTCATCCTGCCAGCGGTACTCATACTTGAGCCCTCCTGACATGATGGGGCAGCTCTTCTCAGTGCAGAACTCCGACATGGTCCCATAGATGAGGTTTATTCTGTTGAAGAAGTCCACAAGGTGCACCGCAATCCAGTCGTTGATGTTCTCCCCTGGAGGCAACTGGACCACAGCCTTTAAGTCGAGCCCTGATTTGAGTGAGGCCTGGGCTTTCTTGTACAGCTCAAACCGTTGGGTACCCGGCTCAAATTTCTTCCGGGGACGAAAGGTTTTGTCTTTGTTAAACACTTGCTTAAGGCACAGAGCCATTCTGGACTGGAACCAGCCAGGGTGACAAGGGCAACAACAAGCCAAAAAATAAAAACGTTAGCCAGAAAAATTAAGGATCAATTCTGAAAGATAAAACAGACAGAAAAGAATTTTAAATGGATACTCTACAAAGTCCCCTTGTTAATTTATTCAGTTGGGAAGGCAGTCACCGCAGCATCCTGTATGCTTAGCTTAATTCATAGCCACTGAAATCCACTGGAACCATGTAAATCATATCTTACATCCATTGATTTTAACAGCTCTACACCAAGTATGGCAAATCTGGACCCAACCTGACGAACTGCAGCATTCACATATTCTAGTTTTCCTGAACCTGATGCCTTCCAGACATTTTGAACTGTAATTCCCATCAGTCTCAGCTAGCATGGCCAGGGATTAGAAACACTGATCTCGCTATTCAGGTTCAGGAAGGCTGAATCTGTTTCCTCACCCAGCACGCTTCCATTTGCCCCACTATAAAAGCATTGGCGGCAGAGAAATCTCAGGAAAGAACTCATGAAGGACAGAGGACCTCCTCATTTCACTCCCGCACTTGCGAACCTGATGCAGTTCATCTGCCTTCTTCGGAGAAAGCCATGGGTAAGAAATAAGCAACCAAGGGGTCCATCTTTTTATTCTTGTATATTCCAAAGTTGTAAAATGCCTGTTTCCCCTTCCCTGTTATCTTTGCAACAACTCTGTGCAGTAGACAGGAGAGCCGCTGGCCCTGTCCTAGTCACCAAGGTCAGCTGTGACCTTTATGTACCAAACTCTTCCATCACGTGTCACCAAGGTCACACCTGCTTAATAAGGGGACTGCCTTTTAAAACTCTTGCTATTAAGACATGTGTATATTATAGCACAACTGTAAGTCAAGGCTTCTGAAGTTGCATCAGTATAAAGATTAAAAACTCAACCAAAGTAAATTACTGTGGAATTTGCTAGGACATTATCAAAGACGCAATCGTGCAAATGTTGATACTACTTTCCTCCCAGAGTTCTGCATCTAAAACTGTCTTTCCCAAAAAGCAGAATCATTCATTGTCGGTCATTAGTGCCCCAATTTTTTTGCAGAATGAAAACAGACATGCTCCTATCACCGTAAGCCTTTACATAGAAGCTGTTTTAACATAAATGGGCATATCAAAGTGACACCTCAAGGCAATTCTAAAAATATGTATCTGTTGATGCCAGGAAAAGGAGGGGTTTCCTCAGCAGCTGCGACAGCATTTTCAACCCAAGAAGCAAACATTCATTTTGCATTGTCACTAGCTTGTCCGTCCCCCCAGCATCTTCTGGGAATGCAGATGTTTGGCCGTTCACAGAGCTTTGTGGCTTCCATTTTATATGCTTATTTGCAGAGAAATACATTTTAAGAGACCCTTGTGCTTCAGACTCCTGCTCGGCAATGTCCCAGGGGAGAAGCCAAACTTATTTTGAGCCATGGGAATACTTAAGGCACAAACACTTGCACAGTAGCCATTTTCTGAGGCAGTGGAACCTGTGAAGGAGGACAAGCTTTTGGGGCACTGAGCTCCCTGCTCCCAGTCTTAAAGGGCAGCCACATGATATAGCTGGGGCAGCAGCACGCCTAGGCAGCCGTACAAAACCATCCAGGGTAGGGGACCACATAGATGCAAAGCAACAATTTGTTTTCTTTGCATAAGTGAAACCCCAGGTTTAATTCCCATCATCTTTCTTTGTGGCCTAACTTTATGTTTACACCAAATTACTTGTGATAATAGTAGATTTTTTTCCACCACCTATGGTTGGTTAGAGTCTCCAGTACTAAAACTGAAACAACTTATGTAATATTGCTTGGCAAGGTTTGACCCAAAAGGACTGTTTATGGGGCTGGACAGATTTCCCTAATCACTTCCACCAGTGTAGTTTGTGGCCTGGCTTGTTTGGGGTGGGCAGCAACCCTCAAATAACCCAGCAACAGCCCATGGGTTGAGGGTTCCTGCATACCCCAAACAAGCCACACTGCCTGACTTCAGACAAGCTGCATCCATGTAATTAGGGAAATCTTCCTGATATGTACAATGGCAGCCACAACAAGTCACAGTGGCTCCTTTCAGCCACAGCAATTGTGTAGAAAGGCTCCGTTCCCGCATCAGCAATCATCCTTCCTGTTAGCAACACTACCTGATTCTCTGTGGCTCCACAACATTTGATTCTGAAATATGATTGCATTCCTTTCACAAGAAGATCAAAAGCTGCCTCATACTGAGTCTACATTAATAGAAGAATCACTTCCAAATCACAAGAAGTACTAGTTCCCCTATTCTCAGCACGAGGCAGACCTCATTGGGAGTGCTGCATCCAGTTCTGGGCAGCACCGTTAAAGAAAGATGCAGACAAGCTTGCAAGGGTTCAGAGGAGGGCAACAAGGATAATCCAGGGACTGGATGCAAAGCCCCATGGGGAGAGATGGAAAGAACTGAGCAAGTTTAGCCTTGAGAAGAGAAGACTGAGTGCTGCACAAGTACTTGAAAGGCTGTCACAAAGTGGAAGGGCACAATCTCTTCCCAGTCATCCCAGAGTGCAGGGCATGGAATAACAGACAGGAAGCCAGATTCAAGCGAGATACAAGGAAAACTTTCCTGACGGTTAGAGTAGTACAGCATGGAACCAATTGCCTAGCTAGGTTGTGGGATCTCCCACATTCAACAGGACAGCCATCTGAGAGGGATAGTTTAACTTGGAGTCCTGCACTGAGCAGGGAGTTGGACCTGAGGATAGCCTGAAAGTGCCACTGGCAGCTGCCCCAGTTTGGCCTGGTGGTCAGAGACACCCCAGCTACTTCCCCAGGGATGAGCCTTGGGGCGAGAACCAGGCAGTCAGAGAGAAACGTCTCATGCACAAACGGGAGAGGATAGAATCACCCGGGCGATGGTGACCCAACCGCATTTGCGTTGCAGAGCTGAGCAGTGTTGCCCCAGCCAAGTGGGTTCCTGCTGGGCAGGAGTGGCGGAATCGGCAGAGCAGTGCTGCGCCCATCCACGGGGCCACCCAGCTGATTGCTTTAGCAGGGGAGAAATGGCTATTTCCTTGGAAAGCAAAAGAACTACTTGTGCATTTGTGCTCTTCCACCATAGCGCACCACCATCCAGAGCTAATCTGGCAGAACAGCCGAAAAGGAAAGCCCTTGCTGTGAAGCTCAGACCTCCATACTGTGATGAAACCAAAAAGTCAATACGGGGATTAACAGCCTCATGAAGAAAGGCTGATTCTGAGTAAATGACTCCAAGGCTTCAGGAAGGGGCGGCATAGAAATGTTTTAATAAATAAATATTTTTATTTATTTTTATTTAATTATTTAATAAATAAATAAATAAATAAATAAATCCCTCCCATCACAATGCACTTTCTTCCTGCTCTGAGTCCCAGTGAGCCCCATGCCATGGTTGCAGTCTAGGTCATACCTCCCTGCACACACACAGAGAAGCTACTCTTCAAAAAAAAAAAAAAAAAAAAATGCAAGAGAAAACTACTTTACAAATGTCAAATCTAACCTGGCTTCACAAAACTCATGCAAGTCTTCCATCATTATACTTTCATTATACTATTTCCTCTTTTGGATTATTTATCGCTGCCTGGAAATCACCTTTTTGATCTCCTTTCCAACTGTCCAGGTAATGAGAAGATATTTTGAAATACAAACTTAATCTCATGGCAGTTGGGCAAGGACAATCTAGTCAAACTATGTGCTTCTAAAAACCCAGCGATATTAATGCCATAGAATGGATTTTCTTCACACCTTACAATGATTTCTGGAATCACTCGCAGTGAGGGACCAAGATGAGCACAATTCACCAAGGAAGCTTTTCTGAAAACCCACAAAACTTTAAAGCGGTTATGTGGACTCCAGTGATGCTGATCAGGGCATTGGCACGTAACCCCTTCCACTCCTTCAAACCTGAAATTAGCCTAACTGGGGTTAATGAGAGGGGATACAAGTAAATTAACTCTGTCTTTTTGTAAATGGGGGATACAGGTAAACCAACTCTGCCTTTTTGTAAATGGTGTCAATCAACATGCCATAATTTGAACTACAGATTCCATAATTCAAATGCTTTCCACAGTTCATCTCGAAATAAATCATGTTCCCTGAAATTCTACCCAATTGCAATCAACATAAATGGTTGTACTCGATTGCCTTTGATGAGAACTCCAGCTGGTCTGGCATCCTATTACCCTCTTTGTGGTTTGGAAATATAAAAGGAATGTGCCCTAAAGCTGAAGCTGGAAATGAATCCAGGGATTTGGCTGGCCAGAGCCATGAGAGAATGGGATGAAGCAGAGGTTAGGACTGAGGAGTTTTTTCAGAGCTGAACCTCTGGTTAGCAAGACCTTCCTCTCTGTAGTCAAGAACGAGAACAGGAGTCACAGAAACCTGTTATTCACTTCCGAGACACTCATCCTCAGGGTCTCTCCTTGACAGGAGAATGGCCTACTGCCCCAGTGTTTCCTTGGTCATGCTGTCCATCACCTTTCCCATTCTCACCATAAATTACAGCAAATAGAACGGGTGGTGTAATCCTATATAAGTGCTCCTAAGAGCCTCTGTGCACAATGCGCCTTTCCCCCATGTAAGTGTGAACCAGCTTGCAGCCTTACGCAGAGGCAGCCCCAGGGGAAATGAGGCACCCTGGTACTCTTTCAGTATTTGTTGCCATGCACAGGATCATAGGAAGATCCCTGTCCGAGTTAGACCATTGGTCCATTTAGCTCAAAGATGCAGGGACTCTCCTAGATTTCAAGCAAGAATCTTCTCCACTTGACCCCATCTTCACTGTAGACACTGGGACGCAGCACTGGAAGTACAGCCTACGGGACCCTTCCCAAACTGTTGCCCCCCAGGTATGTTGAGCAGCAATTCCTACACCCTCCAGCCAGCATGGGGAGCTGGTGTGAGTTGCAGTTGACTAGTGCCAGCTCTGTATGATCCAAAGCATGGCACCAGTGAGAAGTTCTCCCCACAGAGCACAGGACATTTCAGGGGTTCCTTATCACCTTCCTGTCTCATTACGCCAGAACAAGTGGGCTGGATGAGGGTGATGAGATGAAATCCGGACAGAGTGGTGCTCTTAGTAGACAGACTGGTCTGGGGACAGAGATTCAGCCTGATCTGGATGGGTTCACCTTCCCCTCAGAGATCGAGTTGAGAGTATGGAAGTGTTCCTGCATCCCACACCATACCGGCATCTTCAGGTGGTAGCAGTGGCAAAAGGGCGTGTTTGCACAAATATGTTCAGTGTCCCTGTGGTTGCTCCTGAGTTAGTCTAATAAGGCAAGTTATCCATGCCTTGGTTACATCACAGTTAGACTATTGCAATGTGCTCTATGTGGGCCCATCCTTGCGGAGACTCCAAAGTTTCAGCAGGTACGAGATGTGGCAGTTAAGATGCTCGCTGCCCTAATGAACTTCACTCAGGCCTAAATTCCATTGAAGTCTTATGAAGCCTTACTTTTATCGTTTGCCTCAAGCTTTAACTTTCTGAGGATAAATGAGATAAGAACTGTAAAAAGCTTTCAACATAGGGAGGAAAACCTACAGGACTGTTTAATGATATAGTTAAGCAAAGCCAACATACTGCAAGTAATTCCAGTGACATGGGGAGTGTGTGGTTATCACGGGCTGCTGCCCAGGGTTGATATGGTGATGAGGACCTGCTAAGGCCTCCATCCTAGCAGGGGACCCCCTAACTAGGAGCCAGGCCCTGACTCTTCCGCCGTGCTTGTCTGTCTGCTCCTCAGCCCTCTCTGTGCAGCACACCAGATGAATAGCCTCCACTTGGCTTGTCCTCTCCTCTCTGTAGGAGGAAGGTTTGGGCCCAGGAGGACAGGCTAAATGAATTGGTAGCAGTGAAAGTGGCAAAGAAGCTGGCCCTGGAGGGCATGATGCCACAGGGCCCTGAAGCACCTGGAGCCGGCTTTGCTAATCATATGGTGGAGCAGGGAATAGCAGTTAGCACACTGCAGGCATTTCAGAACTGCACTGGATGTGCAGAGTCCCTCATCTTAACTCATGCTGTAGGCTTTTAGTAGTCTTGGCCAGATTTTTCATGCTTGTGTTTCTGTCTTTATGAAAATTTACTGTTTTATTATTGCAGGATTATTGTTGCTGCCGTTGTAAGATGCTCTAAAATACTCTAAATAAAATAAAAATAGAAAAAAAATACTAAGTGTGGCTTCAAATATGTTCAAGAAGGCAGCCTCCTTTTCATGCCTAGGATTTGCCTTGCACCTGAAGCCATTGGAGGCTAAGCAGCAGCAGCAGAAGATGATATTGTTAGTAAAGACAACTTGAAATGTGACAACTTGGCTACATCAGAGACAGAATACAGGCATAAACTTGTTAGAACTTGAGTTACTCGAGCTGAGTCAGAAGTCTCAATAAACTATTTATTGCAGTAACTCCAGTAATTAGCTTCAAACCTATACAGTCCTCATAAAGATCCACAATTAACAGAGCACAACAAACTTCCTAGATAAGAGTTGGTTCAGCAACAGTACAATCAGCCAAGCAGAACAACCCCCATTGCCTGACTCATATTCCTCTTATCAGGTAACTTCATATTTACATGTATTCCAAGCACTCCCAAAAGAAGAGGAGGAGGAGGAGGAGGCAGTGGTGGCGGTGGCAGCGGCTGCCCCCCCCCCCCCCCACTTTCTAGGGTAAGTTACTGCATATTAAAAGTTGAGCACATCCATTGCAGTTTTATATAAAGCTGATAAATCCAGAAAAAATGGTCTTCATATTGTGCACACTTCTGCGTATGTAAATAGCATGCTGATCTTGGAGCAAAGATCTACATGAGGGCTTTACTCCTCTATTTTACTGAGGTATCTTCCATTTTCATTGCAGAGAGAAAGATGCATTCTTTACATAGAGTCCCCCTCCCCCAGGGTGTGTATTTCTCTGCTTTTCTATATATTCTAGTAACCAACCACAAGTTGGCACTGTGGAATAACTGCACTATAGCAGATTTGCGACTACTCACAAGGCTTTTGTTCCAGTGGCTTAAAATTTAATACCAGACTTTCCTCACTTTAAATAATTTTTAAAAATGCAAAAGACTGGAAAAAACATAAGACTCAGTAGGAGAACAATGTAATTGAAAAGTCCCACAAACATCCATGAGTGAGGGATCACAAGAGTCCAAAAAATGCCTCATGTAGAGAACCATAGGTCACTTGTCTGTATATTCATTTCCCCTTCACATGTTACAAAGTACACAATCCTTACGTGTGAAGATATCCTTCCAGTAAACATATGGCTTACACAATAGTATTATTTGGATCTTTATAGAATCTATTAACTGATTTAGGGCAAAGTTGATTCAACCATCTCTCTCCATATGGGCAACAACAACTTTAATGTGACACAGCAGGTAAAAAGGGTATGAGTTATAACAGACTGGGTCCTGATCACCTTAACTCAGTTTCTGCGGATGGAGTGAGACATCAGAAGATACATTCATCATTTGGCAGCTACTCCCTTAAGCAATCACGAGAACTTGACACTTTCTGTAATCAATAAAGTAATTATGATAAGGCTAGTGGTTTCCCATTATTGTCTCAGTGGCGACTCTCAGTTCCTTTTTGGCTTAACAGCCAGGAGTTGCCTTCCATGTTATGTTGCAATAGAGAAAATTCCTTTCACTTCCTCTTCCAATATAGGAAGAGAAATTAGCTAGGATGTTGCTAAGAAGCCATTCCAAAAATGTCAGCTTCAGCTAATTTGTTTTGAGTTTCCTACCATCAGTTTCTTAGAATAAGGGGGACTCTACAAAGTTCATTACAGTTCCTAAGACAAAATCTGAATGTTTAAGGTGAATTAACAGCAAATTTTAACTATATCTGAATAAAGGAATAATAGAATAGTAGAGTTGAAAAGGGCTAGAGGACCATTGGGTCCAATCTCCTGCTCAGTGCAGGATATCAGGTTAAACCATCCTACTCAGATGGCTGTCCAGTTGCTTGAATGCCTCTAATGTGGGCGAGCCACAACCTCCCAGGCTCCTTTGTTGGACTGGTCTAACAGTCAGGACGTTTTTTCTTCATATCTAGCCAAAACTGATTTCCTGGAACTTGAGCCCATTATTTTGTATCCTGTACTCTGGGAAGATCAAGAAGAGATCCTGGTCTTTGTTTCAACCTTTCAAGCACTTGAAGAGTGCTATCATATCTCCCCTCAGTCTTCTCGAGACTAAACATGCCTGGCTCTTTCCATCTGTCCTCATAGGGTTTTGTTTCCATTTCCCAGATAATCCTCATTGCCTCCTCTGAAACCTTTCCAGCTTGTCTGCATCTTTCTTAAACTATGGTGCCCTGAACTGGACACTGTACTCCAGATGAGGCCTGTGACTTGCTTCTTCCAGGTCTTGCAAAAATACTGGGCTTGGCTATATTTTTAGGAGTATGTGCTCAGTAAGTGCAAATTAGAACTGGGTTATATCAAGAACTCCCAAGATCTGGAATCATCGGTCCAGGTTAAGAGTTAATTGAACTGAGTGTACTTTACAGTAGAATCCCTCCCCTAACCCCGCTGCCACACACTCACTGCTTTTGATAATATGACAGTAAGGTAATTTTTACTTCAGCTTTTAACAGAGAAATCTGTTCCTTGATGTGCTGTTAAGGACCAATCTGGACTGCTGAGTTTAGACCTAGAAATCACAGTACAAGAAAAATAATCAACACAGTAAAGGATCCAGAAGGCAAATATCAACTCATTCTGATATCAAATAGTGTTACTGATCAAACACTATCCACACTCATAACATAAGCTATTCTTCATCAAATAATGACAGAATCTCCCAAGACAGTTCTCAGAGTTTAAGTTCTATTTTCTATCAAGAGTTAAATTGATATTTATTCAAATTACACTGCCAAGTAATAACTGCCATTACATGTAAATTATCAATTGCCATCTTGCTGTTAACTATGTTTGTCAATTAGTGCCCTATACTGACACTGAATATTCAGCGCATTTTCAGAACTGATAAATGAAGATTTAGAAAAGAACTAGGGTAATTTAATTTCCTTTTAATTCCCAGATCACCAGCACTCAGTCTGGTGAAAGAAAATCTGTATCCACTAGCTGTATCCATTGACAGCTCTTCCCCTGAAAGTGTGTTTCCTCTTTGGTCACACAGCTGTTCGATGATCCCAAAATTCACTCCAGAGTATTTATTTTCCAGCAAATGGGTATTCAGCTATAAAATACTATGGAAAATTCCAGCACTTGTTCCAAGAAAATGGCTGTCGGAATGATCATTTCTAGTACATGTGTAGAAGGCTGGAGAAGTTGGGGAAAGGAAGCCAACATACTTGACAGGAAGTCTTCAACAAGGAGTCACAAGAGACTAACATACTCAGAGCAATGAACTGAAGGTCATTCTGGCTAGAGATGATTATAAGAGCCTTCCAGGAACCCAAGGCTACTTTCTTCCCAGTGTTACACAAAGCAACCACAGATCTTGGGGGCCTCTGGGATAAGTTGGTTGTGCACAACATCATAACAATGGCTATCATCTATGCTGCAGTGATACTAGGTTTAACTCCCTTGAATTCTCTGGGGAAGATGCATGAACCACAGAGGAAGCTTTGCTGGGGAGCTGGTGCCTGCTAGGTCAGGATTCCAAGAGAAGCCTTGGCAAAATGCCGCGCCTGCTCTGTTCACCCATTGTGCAGTCCTGTGGACACTTGCTTAGGGGTGAGTCCTGCTGAACTCAGGGATGGCTCACCAAACAAACATAAGCGGGCTTGGGCAGAGGATGTTCCTCTTTAATTTTTCCCAAACTATGGCTTTTGTTGTAAAGGCCAAAGGGCTTGGAGGTGGGCATGGAATGGAGGATGAGAGCCATATTATTGATACTATATATTGAGCCAGTAGCACTGTGCATTTTTGAACTTATATTAATGCTTCCTTGAAGCACTCAGTGCATATTCCATATTGCACTGGGGAAGGGAACCATTTGGGGTTCATTGTAGGCATGAGAACCACTTTCAATAAAATGCCTAACACAGTACCTTCAATACTTGAAAACACCACCTTAAAAGCCAATATGCATACAATATAAAAGTAACACATTTAATAGCAATTTAAAATACACATATCCAAATCATGGTAGGCAAGAAAACCCAAGCAGAACAGCAGAAGAACACTGAAGAGCCATGTTGGATCAGATCAAGGGTCCAGCTAGGCTGGCACACCCCTCCCACTGTGGCCAACCAGCTGCCTACTGGAGCCCACAAGCATGAAAGGAGTGCAGCCACATCCTCTCAGTTACGTTTCTCCAGGACAGTTATGCACAATCTCATAAGCTGATACCTGGACATACTATATGCCCATTATGACTAGCAGCCATGGAAAGCTACTATACTCCATGAAATTGTCCAGTCTCCTTTGAAAGCCATCCACATTTATGGGCATCACTCTTCCTCATGGAAATGACTTCCAGATAACTATGCACTGGGTGCAGTACTTCCTTTATCTGGCCTGTATCTCTCACCATTCCACCTCAGGGGATGACCCAGGTTACAGCATTATATGACAGAGGGAGAGGGAGAGGGAAAGGGAGAATGTCTCCCTCTCTAGTTTCTCCAACAACACACCTTTTTCAAAGCTATAAAGGCCCCAACCGTTCCTCAGAGGGCAGTGCTTCCAGATGCTTGGTTGCTGTTTTTTTCACCTAATATTTTTGGGAACTGCATGAGGAATCTCCCATGGAATGCACACCACTGCCCTTGCATGTGGACCTCTAGTATGAATGGATTATTTCTTGATACACCTAGAATGTCAATGAGATTTTGAGTCTGATAACAGAAGACTTGCCAATCTGTTATAAACACCTACCTGGGAGCAAGCTGCATTGAATTTTGAGGCACCTAATGCATATATAAATCAGTGTGTAAATGCATATAGCTTGCGGAAACCCGGAGAAAGAATGACTTATTGATTGTTGTATGTGTTTTCATACAGAAGTTATACTATGGGTAATTTATATTAAAGTAAAAAGAAGAAAAGAATACAGTAGGGCTTACTTCTGAGTAGACAAGCATAAGGATGGACTGTATGGTTCATGGTTTGTGGCAGCTCAGTGGCTGGCATGCAGCGAATAAGGGCGTATTACCCTGACCCACTTCAGTTCTAGGAAGACTGTTAATTCTTTACATGTCTACAGTGTACAATGTTCTAGCAATGATGAATAACCACTTCCACTTTCATCAGGCTGTGACAAGAGATGTGCCCCAGGACACGTGAAAGGCTCCCTGGGGGTAGCATGTTTGTCACTGCTTCTCTGCTTCCTGGCTCCATGACTGGCAGCACTAGTCAGCATCTGACCCTGCACAGAGTTCATTCAAGAAAACCGGAATGCACCCATTTTGGCCACACCAGATAAGAACTTGTGCAACTCTAGAAGCACAATCCTTTGCACGCGCCTAGGAAGTGAGTCACACACTGTGAAGAGGGCCTTATTAATTAATTAATTAATTAATTAATTTCGTTTTGAATGCTGCCCAATTGCCCAAAGGCTCTCTGGGTGGCTAACAAGTCAAAAAGTATAAAAACAGACAAATACAACAATAAGATTAAAAATAAAAACAGACACATTAAATTCACTAATGCAACAATATTGGAACATAGGCACAGAGGTAATACTAAATACAGTACTAAAATTAATTTTTAAACTATTAAAATGCCTGGAAAAATGGGATTTTCACCTGGTGCCAGAAAGAAATACATTAGACAAGAAGCGTACCTCTTTGCGAAGCTGATTCTATAAAAGGGATGCCACAATCAAAAAGGCCCTTCTCCTTATTTCCAGTAGAGAGGGCTCCTTAATAAGGACCCCAGAAGATGATCTTAAGGTCTGGATAGGCATTTATGGGAAGAGGTGTTCCTTCAGATAAGTTGGCCCAAGCTGTTTAGGGTTTAAATTGTTAGTATTAGCACTGCGTATGATCACAGTCTGACTAAATCTCTCAATGCCTTTGTTTAAGCAAGCTACAAAGTATAATCCTCTACAAGTCAGTAGCCTGCCTTTAGAAAGGGATGCTTGCTTGGGATCCACATAGCAATTAAACACACTCACCTTTCCCTGACCTGGTTGCCTCTTTGAGCAACTGGCAAAGGCATTGCTAGCAGACAAGCTATTTGCCCTAGCAGCTCTGCTCCTTCCTCCCAAGTGCGACTGGGGGTCCGGCTGCTGTTCTTCCAAGGACCTAGCCAAAAGTACTTCTGCTTATTCTATGAGGACTCTGCCGTGGTATATAAAATAGTGTGAGCCATGATGAAAGGACTGGTTCAAAGGAAAAGCCAGAAGCACAAGAAAGAACCTCAGGCTAATGCAGCAGGTTCTTGCCACCTGCACCAGCCCTGCAATGCTTTCACATGTGCTGTACAGAATACAAACTCCTTTACAACTCAATCTTATCTATCCAGAAGGGAGTCTCATTATCCGGGGGGGGGGGGTGTACAGCTACAGACTAAGTCTTTTGGCTGTAGTGTCTGCCGCTACATCAGCAACTCAGCCATTCCCAGTCATGAAAATACTGACACATGTTATCCAAGTTTGGCCATTTTTTGCATAAATGGAGAGACACCCATTCTCAGAACATAAAGTGGTGTGATGGTTCACTCTACATAGTTTATTGGACACTGTGCTTGCTGCTTCCTTGGTATAGATACCCAGTAGCAACTGGCAACCATCCAAAGCCGACAATCACCTAATAATGTGGACACAAACTTTGCTGGAGCTATTTTCTGTTACAGAAAAATCTCTGCTCACATTTCTTTCTGTCAGCAGTAATTGGCTCCCCCACAAAGTTTGGCCTCTACAAATATTTCAAAATACCTCAACAAAGCATCTCGCCCTGTCACCATTCCAGAAGTTTCCCCTGCCCCAAATCTCCAGTTCCATTGCTGACGGCATAAGGGTTAATCAGTTCAGTTCAGAAATGTGTGGCTTAGAAAAAGAAAGTAAAAAAAGCACAGGACTGCAAACTTGTTGCTGTCTAGCTGCAAATAATGTCAGGCAGAAGAGACACATTCATCAGGCACACTTAGCTGGAGCTGTATGGTGCTCCAGTCAAACTTCTGGGAGAAAGAAAATGTTTAGAAAGAAATACACTCACCCTCAGCTCCACAGCTGATTCAAGCAAAGTCTGCCACTTCTATAGCACCAGAAATGCCCCCAAAGCCAGATCCTTTCTCTAAAACTGCCAGTGGCTTAATGGCTCAGAACAAAACATTCCACACCAGAAACCCGCACTGGGCTTTTCTTTAAAGAAACCCTGCCTTTTTCCCCTCTTTTTTGTCTCCTTGTCAGTGATGTCACATCCTGATTGTGACTAGAGGATTACAGCTGTCCTTGCAAATATGCCAGCCCTTTCACCCTCCCCAGTTACGCCTCTTACGCTCATGAGAGCAGCCCACTCCACTGTCAAAGATCCTTGGGAAAATTCTCTCTCTCCTCCCCTCCCTCTCGCAATGCACCTACTGCACAATTCCAGCTCTTCCTTTTCTTTCCCTGGCTCCAGATTCCAAAGTTTGAGGCCCCATTATGCAATCAGCAAGGAAACTTAAGTCAGATTGCTATCATTACTCCTCCCATTTCCAGTTGCAGATGAAGAATTTAGCCAGCCATTTACAAACTGCATAGGAAAAGTGGTACCTGCCAATCCATCAAAGAAACTGATCAAAGAAGGCGGCATCCGCCTCTCCCTGCGTTGTCCTGCTATCTCTGGAGGTGTGAGTCTTGGCTGCAAGACCCTTCAAGTGGGCATAAAGGAAATCATGGGGGTGAGGGCTTTCTCTAGCCCATTCAGAGCAGGTGGCCAGCTTTGTAGATCTGTTGGTAGCAAACAGCATCAGGGCCCTCTTCCTTCAACATGCCCACCTGCTTCCAAAGTTATCTCCCCCATACCGTGTTAAGGTTCTGATTCTTTAGACATCCAAGAACCAACCTATCTCCCCTCAGCTGCACCAAAATGCTTTTTGCCTGATGAGGAGATCAGGAAATCTCGAATCTTTGTTCATTTTTTGTGTTCTCAGAGTAGGCCTGTTATACTATGAGGACTTTGGATGGATGCATTCTGCACCACTGGCCAGGAGGAGCAGGCAATGCAAGGCAAGGCTCCTGCTTTTCCTTGCTGTGGTCTCCTTTAGGCACAGCACAGGAGCAGACAGGCAATGAGAAGGACGAAGTCCAGTCCATGCTGGGGCACCCAGCAATACCAGCTCCTGGGGCTGACCCTGAAACCAGTGATAACAGAAAAAAGAATAAATTCAGAATGCTTCAGCACACTGAGCTCATATTCTCAAACAAGTGTCCCCAGAAGTGCTCCCCGTTGTGTCCCGTGAGGCTGGCATTCATTTAAGTGACTCCGAGCCCCTTTTACTCTACTTCTGGATACATGCATATATTTGTAATGTAGGAACACAAGACCACTCCCCCTCTGGGATGCACTTTATTGTGGTCTTAAGACCACAATAAAGTGCATCCCAGAGGGGGAGTGATCTTAAGATGGTCTTAAGACCATGATGTTAAGATCATGTGGGGTTGAGAGAGTCAGAGAAGCCAAAAGAAATGCCTCCAGGAAGCTAGACTCTCTCACTAGCCTGGGCACAGTTTTCCACTCTGTGGATGCTTCCAAACACAAATTTTTATTGTGAAATTGTATAGTGTCATTCACAGAATAATAAAATGGCCATAAAAAGGGGTCCCCTACACAGCACTTGTGGGGTAGGGCACCACTGAGCACCTCCAATAGCACCCCAGAAGGGGGTTCCTAACACGGTGCCTGCAGGCACCATGACATCTTTAAAGCAATACTTTAATTGGTCTTGTTTTTTATTTTTCTTGTTTTGAATATACATATATTGATTTATATCAGTTGCACAAAATATCTTGGCAATTATGCATAGGTGTTAACAAATATCCAGATAAGTATGGATTTGAATTAATCTTGAGCCACCTGTTCACATGTCAGAAGCATCGCAAGGTTTTTAATCTGTTGCACCATAGGATGTGCGAGTATGTATTCTTCCAATCTTGTAATATCAGTTTTTAGCCAATCAAAAGGATGCAGAAAATCCCTTTTCTCTTCCATTTAATTTCCACAAAGGAGATAAATCATTCAAATCAGTGAATGATACATCAGTGAATCATAAAGACTGTTCCAGTACAAAATCTATCTGTGTAATAACCTCCTCCTTGAAGATGTAACTACTGGATATTGCCAAACACAAGTCTAAATGAATCATAAGCTGTATTGCACCACTAGCAATTAGTTGAATTAGACAATCCCTTGTTAATGAGATATTGTGGTGTTTCCTAGACACACACACACTTTTTGCTGAATAAGACACTACCTCAAATTCATAGATGCAATGGTTAGATAGCAAAGAAGTGATCCACTGACTGGGGACTTTGAAGTGGTACTCACAGCACTTTCTTAAATTTCTAAAAGCTTCTCAGGTGTTTATTTTGAGAGGGGCATAGTCCAGATGTTGTTATCTTCCATTTGTGACTCTCCAGTGTTTTTCTACTGTTTATTCCATCTTTTTCTTACCATGATTAGAATTCTTATCACAAACCATTAAAGGCAAGGGGAAAGACTGAATAGATGTACAATGGCTTTTGATGGGTACCATTAGAAACCCACCTGGAAGTTTGGAAGCACCCTATGGATTATAACTGCAGAAAGGAGATTTTAGTCAGGGAATCAATGTAGAGGCAGTCTGTTCAGAGTGGTATTTTACAACCTCTCCTGCTCTCCCCTGCTGTGTTTTGAAGGAGCCTTTCTTAACTGTCACCACAGCGAAGGCCAAGAACTCTGCAGTGATGTTGTGGCAAATTTTGAAGCATGGGTGCTCATAGTCA